TATATATATATATATGTGTGTGTTTTTTTAATGTTTTGAAATAGTATTTTTATAAATAAATAAAAAAAACTAGTAAATTAATAATGTCATTATATTAAACTATGTCAATTTTCAAGTATCAAAATAGATAATATTTTAAATGTAATAATTTAAACAATGTCAACAAGTTTGAGGTTGAAAGATTAATGCTAGAAGACGACATATCTTAACCTTAAATTGATGATTTGTGTTAACAAAATTAAAAAAAAATACATTATTTAAGATTAATGTAAAAAATAATTTATAAACACTTTCCTCCTTTAATCCAACTCTCACACTTAAAATAAAATTGAAATAGTTCACAAGTGTTAAAGAACAATTAATTTTGAATTGTTGTACGTGTTGTATCTAAGCATTAATTTACAAAGAAGGGACGCTATCATTTGAGATGTGAATATTTTGTTAATCACTAACTAAAAATATGATTTTTATAAATTAAAATTAAGTAAACGATATATATATATATATATATATAAAATGATAATAAATAAAATTATGATTTTTAAATAAATATATTAAAATAGAATTATAATACATATATAAACTATATTCGTGAATTATTAAAGTGTTAAAAAAAATTAAATAATTTGGATTTGATTTATTTAAATAATTATTCTTACCTATTTATTTAGTTAAATAAATCAGTTCAACCGAACATTTAATTAACTTAAATAATTCATGGATAATTAAACTCATTTTTATATCCATGTATATGTGTAGAATCCTTTAAAGTATATACTCCACCACTGTTAATTTGTTAAACGATGGGATTATTAATGGCAAATTGTAAGATTGATAATATACCCAACCATTTGATATACAACCACAATCTCGGAGTCCAATTGCATTGCGTTGCTTTTAAGATGTGGCAATAATCATGTTTAGTCAACTTTTTTTCTTTTACTCGTTATAGTATACCATATTATACCATCTGACTCGTTCCACACTTCCTCTAATTTTTTTTTGTTTTGCTTTTACCAATCTACCACTTGTATAAATTTATATACGAATTAAGTAACTTGTCATTCTTAATGTGCACGATGAACATGAAGTCAACCAAGAAGAAGAAAGGGCATTTTAGTCATAACATAGAAGCAAGTAACGTTGTGGTAGCGGTGTTCCTATATAAATGTCACACGCACTGTACTTGGCGTGCAGTTGAAGGAAATATCTTGTTATATATATAAGCTTGGAACCTTCTTGTTTCTCTTGAGACGATGGCAGCGATGGTTGAACGGAAGCCACTTGAAGCACCGAAGAATTTGTTAGAAGCAGTGTCCATGTTAGCAGAAGCGATGAAGCACGCTCACATGGAGGCACGAGGCACGTGGCACCTCTTCGACTTGTCTAGGGCCATCCTTCATGCTATCATGGACAAGGTCACTTCCAACTTCTTATCTTTCTTTCCACTTTTCCTCACCATGCATGTAGTTTCTACATGTCACATGTAATTAAGTGTTATTATATGATGCATGCAGTTGGATATGTATTTTTACCTCTTGTTAACTTGCACTGATTCTGTGAAATGTAGGGTAAGAAAACAGTGGCAAGAGAATGCAGTGAAAGAAGCGATTGTGTACAACTGAAAACCCCTGAAATTCTAAAGGAGTTACACGAGTTTAAGACATTGTTGACACGGACCATGCTTTTCACTAGCAGAAAAGCGTTCGCTGTATTCGACGAGGAGGATGTGCTCCTAAGGAAGACAACAGCACGGGTATATATTTAATTTTTTATATATGTATATATCCATATTTATGGCTAGATGTATTTAACTGAAAAATATTTTGATGCATGTGACCAGATTCTAAGGCCTGCTTTCACAGTTATACGTGACAGAAAATCAAAAAGTTTGATTGTGTTCATCCGGGGAACTCGTAGCCTAAGAGATATGTTGACAGATGCACTGTGTGCTCCCATCTCCTTCGAACACATCATTTACAGCCATGGCAGTGAGCAAAGTGGGAACAAGAAGGTTTCAGGTCATGCACACCGTGGTATGGTTGCTGCAGCTTTATGGGTTAAAAAGCGTTGCATTCCTGTACTTCTTGATGCTCTTCAACATCATCCCGACTTCAAAATCAAGGTACTACATTCTTGGAAAATTATACACTTCCTAATCTAACTTTCAAAATTCTACATTTTATCATTTAATATTTAAATTCTCGTACCTCTTGTATATAATAACATGTTAATCTCTTACATTAAATGTTGATTGTTGACTTACATGGATGATGTTGCATATGGATTACAACATGATATAATATATATGTAGTTAATAATCAACTAATACGTTAACAATTACCTATATTATTAATGGAGTGAGAAAATATTTAATTTCGAAAGTTTTGTGAAAATTTTATGGAAAAAAATACATTTAATTCTTTTTCTTGCTTAGCCTGGATACAAGTGGATACTTTATTCTACTCAAGAAATAGATGACAATACATCATCAGCAACTAAATATTGGTCCAAAATGTGAGGGATGACCTATCCATCCAGTAAACCTCTCTAAAATCAAAAGCTGAACCACCTAACCCTTTTTATAGTTAAATTTAGGTATTCCATTTTTTTTTATTTCATGAAACCCTATGTTTGATTTTTTTTTTTTTATAATTATAATTTCCATATAGATTGTTGGACACTCGCTTGGTGGTGGTACTGCTGCACTGTTGACATATAAGCTTAGAGAAATACCACAGTTCTCTTCAAGCACTTGCGTCACGTTTGGCCCAGGCATGTAATTATTATACGTCTTAAGTTTTAATTTGTTCAATTGAGTAACCAATTTCTGTAATATATAATTTAATCATTATAAGAGAATATGGAGAAGTGTGTTACAAAGCATTTCTCGTTAAACGACTGTTAGTGGCATATTTTATTCTTAAATAACCAACGGTAAACCACTATAATAATTAGTTTATTGTATATATTCTGTTTCAAACCATAAAAGTAAAAATTATAGTAAACCATTGTATATCCATATCTTTATTGGGACAACATAAAGTATCTCTATATGTTAGGATGTTGTACTCTAATTAGACAGTGATATGAAATTTGAATTAAATATTAAATTACTATTATAAACATTGTGATCAGGTATTGTGTGTGTAAAATACATGTGATTTAAATATTTAATAAAAAAAATCCACACAAATTTTCAAATGAAATAGTTGCTCCTAATTAAAATAGCACACGCATTGAAGTAGAGAGAAGGAGAAAATAATATATATGATAAATGATGTAATGAAGAAGAAAAATATGGATAAAAATAAAATGGGATGGAAATGAGAATGAAGAAAGAAAGTTCTAGTTGTGTATTTTAGGATGAATATATATTGTACTTATCTTTTCTCAAATCTTGTCATAATCATCATTGCTAAGTTCATGTTTGACAATTGTTATTCATGCAGCTGCTTGTATGACATTGGAATTAGCCGAATTTGGGAAGCCCTTTATCATTTCCGTTATAAATGGTTCTGACATGGTGCCTACATTGTCAGTTTTTTCTGTTCATGACTTCATTTCTGAGGTGCTCAAACTAGTGACTAAGATGGCTGTTAGAAAATGATTTGTGTTTTTCATATGTTTCTTTATATTAATTTCTTGATTTCTGATGATGTACTTATATGTTAGAAAATGGTTCATTCTTAATTTGTTCAAGTTGGCTTTCATTATATCATTTTTAATTAATTGAATAATTTGCAGGGTCGAACTAAGGATAAAACCACCACAAATACAATTCAAAGACATATAACTATAATTGGATCTCACTTACCATTAGCAAAAGCCATTGCAGAACATGCGCTAAACCATTGCGCCCAGGTAGCTTTAAGATCCCTTATATATATATATATATATATATATATATATATATGTGATTAAAACTTGAGA